TGGAGAAGTAAAGTATTTGTACTGAAGTGTAAATGCTAAGTCACAACGGCAGGCATATGTTATATGTAGGTTAACGGGATACTTTTAATTTTTGCATGCACAACTGGATTATAGGACAACAAAATTGGTAAACCATGTACACATACTTTTAATGCGGTATGAAACTAATAGTATAATCAGGCGTGTATATAGGGTGATGAAAACAGTGCTATAACATTTTTAAACGTGTATCAAAATTGAAATAGAAGTTCGTTTTTGTTTGGTTAGGGTAGAATGGTGGTTTGCATGACTCTTAAACCAACTTTAATAGAAATAATCGTCCGTTGTAATATTGTGGATAAATCATTGTTTAGATTTCAATACAAAAGGACCACCAAAACAGGTAGAAATACCGTAGTAGTTAGCACACTGACAATGATGAAGGTAACAGACATAGGGAGGTCTATTTAAGTAATAAAGGACTAACCTTACACGTCAGTAAGATACGTTATGTCCCTACTTTGATAAAAAGAGTGTTTTCAAAGAAATGCCATCTCCTACAGACCAAAGATAAGCATTGATACATAAAAGGAAATACTGTCAAGTAATTATGGGCACACCAAGTTTCATTGTATATATTTCTAACACACAGTGACTCATCAGTACCGATTCCATAGTACTGAGTATGTGTTGCGCTTTAATTAAAGCAACTGTTAGGGAACCCCTTTGTATAAATTGGATCAAAAAATGTTAACTTCTAGTTGCCAACGATGTCCACTGATTCATAAAGAGCAACAAAGTATCCTACATCTTTGAAGAATTATAACCATGGTAAAAGTCATTATGGGTACACAAGGCTCGCTGCACAGTGATTCGTCAGTATAGACATTGTAGTACTTAGTAAATTTTGTTCAAGTCTTGAAATCTGGTAAGTATTTTTATATACACAGGATTTATGCAGCGCATAGAAATTTTTAAAATGTTATTACAAAAAATAATAAATTTGACCAAGTTATGTTTAGTGAATCACCTAAAATTGACGGATGAGAACTATAGGATAGAGAACCGATTACTTTTGACTAAAAAATGTATTTTACAAACGAAAATGCCTTACAAACGAAATGACTTACTTAAAATAAAATACATATAGCTTACTAATTTAAGCTTAAAATAAAACAGTGCATATGTAATTCATGATGTATTTATATTTTGGGAAAAAAATCATTTACCTAAGATGAGTAAGTATTATAATTACAATTATAATTGATTAATTATTTAAATAGAAAATTCTTTCTTATGATTCACAAAAATAAATTTAGTACAGTTGATAATCGAAGCACAGATCTACACATTATTGCTTTGTTGAAGCACTTAAAAAGACTAATAATGATGATGTGTGAAAACATTATTAAAAGCTGTTAAATGGATTCTGTAGTTGCCCTCGTATTTTATATTTTTATCAACTTTATTTTACTTTAAACGTTATAATTGTAAAACTATATTTGACTAAAAAACTGGTAATCTTAATAGCTGCCAAATATAGTATCTAAATTTGCATTTTAAAATGTAAGATAAAGCGTTAGTTGAACCGATAAAAAACCTACGTTTGTTTTACGAGTATCTGATACATGTTTTTGCTATGTGACGTTAATTGTATGTTGACTTAATAATTTTGTAGTGAATTTATGAACTCACAAACATCTTTAAAATTTAGGAAAATAAACATAATGATATATTTAAGTATTAAGCTAGTTATACACATAATATATAAATATTAGAAGACATGAGATTTTATTTATCTTGAATGTAAGGAACGATAAGAAATGTTTTAGAGTCTACAAGCCATTGTAATTTAAGGGAATAAGAAATTTTAATAAATAGAATAAACAAAATAATAATGGAAAACAAAATAAATTATATAAATGTTTATTATTAATTTCTGCTTGTAATTTAATTGGTTTTGTTTTAATTAAATTTTTAAACAAGCTTTAATAGACTTTTTAAGCAATGTTACTTTTGACAGTAGTTCAATTCCTTTCCGAATCTTTAGTAAGCCATTATTAAGTGAATAGATTGGTTGACTATACGTAGGTGTCCATTTTAGTCTTAGACAGTATTACCGTTTGGGACGTCTTAGATTGAAGTTCACAAACAAACAAGTACAAGCAATGAATTTAGTGTAGAATGGTATGGACATTTAGAAAATCAGTGAATTTTTTTAGCGACATATGTTATACAATTAACATAAAGAAACGCCAGAACAATATAGTGAATGAGTTGAGATTCAAAAACCACGATACATTCAACTGAATTATGTGCGATATATTGTACGTAAACTAAAGTATTTTTTTGTGTATTGCTTCCACTAACTGACCACCCTAACACCCATATCTATGATGAAAGTTGGAAAAAATATAACAAATTGTATTTTGTAATTGTATAGCTTTGTGCACATTACCCCGTCCGTCAGATCTCAAGATAGACCTGGTTCAAACTGGCCAAAAAAAGTACCATTCAGTTGACGGGTCACTGCGTACTAGGAAAACATACTACGAGACGGGGTTTACGCTATAATGCCTATTGTCGTGGTTCGGGTTTTGTTTTGTTTATACGTAATAAACAAAATACATAATACAAAAAAAAAAAATAAAAATAAAGAATGTTATATATTATATTAAAATATAATATACGGTATATATTATATTATAATTTATATTAAATTTAATATATGGTATATATAAAAATATGATTACATAATACAAAAAATATTAAAATCTTATAATATATTATAATATATACATTATATTAAAATATAAACAATATAATATAAAAATATAATATATATTAACTATATTAAAACATAAAATAAAAAATATTAAAATTTTATGTATATTCTATATATATAATATACATATATGTATATATAATATACATTATATTAAAATATGAACAATATAATATAAAAATATAATATATATTAAGTACATTAAAACATAATATAAAAAATATTTAAATTTTATGTATATTCTATTGCAATGAATGCCGAAATTAGTCGAGTTCAAAGTGCCTTTTTTTAAAAAAATTTCCGGGAATTCTTTTTAAAAGTCATATTAATCTCAAATTTTTAAAAAAAAAATTTTTATTCATATTTTGCATATCAATTTCTTATCGTATGGTAACATGTCGTACATATACATATCTATACATATATATATATATATATGAATATATATATATATATATATATATGATATATATTGATTATATATATATATAAATATATTGTATTATATATATATGTATATATATAAAGAAGTATTAATATATTATTATACACTATTATCTTAGTAATTCATGTTAATATTTAAAGTAATGGAGTAATGGGTTTTTTAATATTACGTTTCTTCGTTACTGTATAAACTACCTCAACTCCAAGTAAGGTTGGCCATACAATAGACCTCATAGAATGAAATCGTATAGCTGTTGACAATATAAGATTGCAACTTCTTTCGAAACTATTACAACAGTACCATTCATGATCTACAGTAAAGACTTTAGTGAATGAGTAAACGAATAACAGTGCAAAGCGTTTAAAAAATATAGCATTTTCAGTTGTTGTTGCTGTAACCCGCAGAGATCTGTTTGTGTAATCCCTTTGGGAGGTGTTGATAGTCGATATTGACGAGTGGCTCCATTCATGATCTCTAGTAACGACTTTAGTGACTGAGTAACCGAATAACAGTGCATAGCGTTGTTTTTGTTATAACCCGCAGACCTGTTTGTGTAATCCCTTTGGAAGGTGTTGATCGTCGAGATTGACGAGTGGTTCCGAAACGTAGACTCAGCCGTTCTTGGAATCATTGTTCCCAGTAAACATATTCAGTTGTTTTTGTCAGTAGATTACCGAGATCGTAAAGGTTACTATTATGTTAAATGTAAAAAGAAACCGCAAGTTGTTGTAAACTATGTGATTACCACTTTGAGACCAAAATGACATATGACACAAAAATATTTATTTAATTTTTTTCTAGAATTATAAATAAATTATTTTATTTATAACAGAACAGAACAATGCGAAAGGTTAAACAATTTTCAATTGAAAAAAAAAAAACAAAAATTTACTTTTGATTTTATTTATCATACATAAACTTTTCGCTCAGCAGCCTGCATTTGTGCAAAAAACGATTTAAAAATAAACTCTGGAATAATTTAACGCAGTAAATTGAAATGTTAATAAAAGCTGATAACTGGAAAAGATTGACGTTGAGCCGAAACAGTAAAACGCAGAGTCAGAGTCAGGCCGGGCAAGGGAGTCAGGCAGTGCAGCAGCAACGACAAACTTCTCAGCAATCCAACACACACACACACACACACACACACGCATACACATGCAAAATGTACGTAAGAAATAATCGTTAACGACGACATTTTCATATGTATAAATTTAAAGAACGCGCAAAAACAAAACAAATGTTTGCTTAATCATTCTTAGATAATAATATTAAGATATTATATTATATAGAAGTTTTATATAAATATAAGTACACATAAAAATTCTTATATATCTATTTAAAGTGAACAAAAAAAAACAGCAGTCATTAATTGACTCTTATACATTATATGTATATAGAAGAAGAACTAATAAAAACATAAAAATATGTTTTTTTTTAAACTCCAACATTTTTAATGTCTTAATCGATTTCAAATATATTTTTATTAAATTTTAATAACAAACAATTTAGTTTCGTTTTTGGGCGCTCGTTTGGTTCTTTGCACGCCACGCCAAATGAAAATAAAACCGCTTATTCGTAGCATGTTTTTCTATTGGATTGGATTCGTGGCCCGGCAAAATGGTTTCGTTTACAATTTCTGACAAGGTTAAAGGTTAATGTAAACGCCTATGTTCTAAAGTTCAAACAAAATTGTATACTTAATTGCAAAACTTTAAAAAAATGTAACAACAACAACAACAAAAACATGAAGGGGTTAAAAATTATTGTGCAATAATTAAATGAACTTACCTTTTAGATGATTAATGCTTATATTTTGTATTATCAGTTAAGATTATATTATGCTATTCCTTAATGAATCACTCTTAAAGTATATATATAAATATGCCTTATATTACGAATTATTTAATAAAAGCGAGGCAAAATTTGCTTAATTTTGAGATCAAAATAACAGTTGCTGCGCGAACGTAGAATTAAACCAGAAAAACAAAGTAAAATTTTATAAAAAAATAAAAGCACGCAACACACAACTCGACAAATGCAATATTATTTCATTGATTTTTCACAAGTATATCTTTAATATATATATATGAAAACCTTTTATTAAATATATGAATTTCGTTTCTTTTATTATTTGTAAAATATTTCGTTTTGCGACAAAAATAAACACAGCTCTCTACGTCTGATTCGATTCAACTATACATGTTGGAAAATATTAAAGCGTTCGCTCCTTCTTGTTTTTATTCTTAATCATTCACAATGTTTGACATTTGTTTCATTTTAAGAGCACTGCCATCATTAATTTTTATTAAGCAACCAAAATAAAATTTCTAATATATGCTAAACGGCAATTCACAATAAAATGATATGAATTTTTTATTTTATATTAGGTCTTTTCTTTTGTAAGCAAATAAATAACAAATAAATAATAATAATAAAGAACAAATAAATAGTGTTTACACTACTTTTGATGGCAACTCTGTAGAAAATGGCAATTTCGTTATGTGCAAAACACGTAACAAAATTTAAAGTTGAAATTTTGAATAATAATTGTTAGCAATTATTGGTAAGTATATATTTTTTAACATGATTGTAAATGAAATATAATTTTTCATGCATTTTAACAGTAAAATAATAAATAGAAAAAATAAGGCATTTTTACGAATAATGAGGACACGAAAAACAAAGAATTAACGGAATCGTATGTTCACAGATATCTGGAAATTTCGTATGTACTTCCAAAAATGGTTCACAATAGACGAATTTTTAGTGTTGCCAACCATGTGATTTGAGCTGTTTATTAGTTAAGCGGTTTCAAAAAGGTTGGACTAAATAAGGCAGCAGTGTTGTTGTTTCATATGTTATTTTTAAAATAAGCAGTTGTTCTTTTGTAATATGTTTACAAAAGAAATGGTCTATTATTATAATTTTCTTTTATATTACGTTATATAACACTGTCTTTTTTAAGTGGTTTAATAAATATACGCAATATAAATCAATAAAATTATTCAATATAAGACCTTTTGCAGTTGGACTGGGGAGATAGTACAACGCCAAGATACTTTAGCTTGTTCAGAAGCTGAATGGGGGTATTACCGAGCTCTAGTTTAATTAGCGAGGCACTAAAGCCATTAAAAGCGATCTCGCAGAGATTTTATTGGGAATGAGCTTAATTTTACTCTTAGTGTAGAAATCAACGAGGGTTCTAAGGTGGTTATTTAGTTTGTTAGCTATGCGGCATGGGTTTGACGACCGCATGAATACGAGGCATTCGTTGGCTGTATATCACTTCTGTTCTGTGTCACTTCTCTAGTTTTACAACTACCAATAGATTTTCTATGTTAAAGTGTTATTATGCTACTCAACTAATTAAAATAGGTAATATTAGGTCTGTTTCACGAGTTACTCGTAGTAAAATTCAAGTAAAACACAATAAAGAACTGAGAGCGTAACACAAATAAAGTGTTAAATTATGTTCTTTACATATATTTTCATGGAACAGCTTTGTGTAAAATCTGGCGAGAACACCAGTGCCGCGCAAATAAACAATAGGAAAATTTAAATTCAAACCAAAACAGCTGATTCACACATCACCACAAATTTTACTTGATATAAAATGTGAGAGTCTGTGTAACATTTTCAATTTTCGACAGGGATGTTACGCTCTCTCAGATGTTTTCATTTACTTGAAAATTTAATGGTAAAACGCACTTGATATACAGAGTGGTACTAAAAGTTACTACGATTAGCTCGCGGAACATATCTATTATATATACGATTATGATTGTGTATACTATGACTTGAATTTAAAAAAATTGTATACACAAGCGATATCATAGTAGTTAAAAAAAACTAATGGATTGTGCGGATATTATTAAATAAACTTATTATTAAATAATAGACTATGAATGCACACCGGTCTAAAAGATCTATTGTGCGCCTAAAGGCCTAACAAAAACAATTTCAGACTATTTATAAATCTTGTAATTGTTGTAGACTTAATGTTACCTATTTGATTTGGGACTCAGATCCCGCTTCCAAGGTAGTCGAATCTACTTCTTGACGCCGCTGTGCACTTGCATAGAATATGTTCTGCTGTTTCTTTCTCCTTATGACAGGGCGAACAAGATTTATTTTCTACTGCACCTATATAATTTTCATGTGATTATTAAGTCTACAGTGTCCTGTAAGAAGTTCAGTGTAGATTTTAATATCGTTTCTGCTAAGGTCAAGGATTAATGAATCTTCTTGACCGTCACATGCGTGTTTGTGTTCTCCAGTGTTCAAGTAGATGTTGTTTCTTCCGTTCACATAATAAGTTATTTGTGAAGCTATTTGTTATTCCGCAGAAGGGCTCTGGGCCTATGAAAGGAGTACATGCACTCTTCTTTGCTAGGGAGTCTGCCATTTCATTGCCCTCATGCCCTTCATGTCCCGGTACCCACATAAGAGTAACATAATTCCTGGATGCAAGGGTATTGAGAATAAATAAATAAACGTAACCCACATCTTATTGAGTTCACTCAACAATTCTGCATAGTATAACAAAAATAAATAAAATATTTATGACCAATTAAACAAAATAAACTCCGTGACAAATTCAGGCAAACACGCACTCTTTACGGTTCGGAACAAATTAAGCGCCATTAATTACCATTAGGAACTGTCAGAGAGGTGTCTTATGTACGGCCCATATATATTATAATTTTTATTTGTTTTAACGCATTAATTATGCACAAATTAATAACTATCAAAAGTGGTCTTGTTTTAATACAAATATTAATAAATTAATATAAAAAAAATATATGTGAACATTTTTATCTTTCGATATTTTTCAAAGTTAAAATATGATTTTATCACCTGAATATGAATATTGATAAGCTTGAGTAAAATATGTATTGTTGAATTTTGTTAAATTACATAAATAATATAAAAATATTAAATATTTAATATGACAAAATAAATTGTGAAGCACTGGTCACCAGGTTACTGTAACGACGAAACTCGGTCAAATTCGATACAAGATTCGAGATGCAGATTTGCATAACAAACTCAACAGATGTCAAAAATTATTATTTTAATGTTATTAATTTTGGTTTTGGATTTTTTAGTTTAATTTTCAGTTCACATACCGCATATTTGATTTGATAGAAATTTATGGTCCATAAAATTTGCAACATTGGAAAAATTTACATGATATGAATCAGTGCAAATATTTTTCGCGTATATAAAAGTTTTGAATTTTATGCAGAAATCAGTATCAAAAGTTCAACAAGCAAAGTCATTTATTTACACTACAGGAAATTTTCTACAGAAACTTGCATAAAAAATGTTCAAAATTGTAATAAAACTTGATGTAACGAACAGTGAAATTCTTACTTAAAATATGTCTTCTTTCCATTTCACATAGATTTTAATCACTGTTACACTTGTTACGCTTGTCAGTGCTGGTGGCAATCCCGAGGATGTGCATGCAACGATTATCAAATATGAGAACGAATTGAATCCTGATGGCAGCTACAACTTCGAATATGCCACTTCAAACCAAATACAAGCACTAGAGTCTGGCGTTGGCAGCTCCTACGCTTCAGGTTCATATGCTTATCTATCGCCAGAAGGACAACCCATTCAATTGCAATACACTGCGGATGAAAATGGATATCAACCAATTGGTGAACATTTGCCAACACCGCCACCAATTCCAGACTACATTTTAAAATCACTCAGATACATTGAACAGCATCCGTTCGATAAGATTGTTCTCACTAAAAAATAAAATTTTACATATAAATTAAAAATTTAAGGGCTTTAGTTTTAAAAGAAATGGTAAATATTTCTTTTTAATTTTAGTATAATTTTAAGCATTAAAATGAAATAAATGTTTTAGATTTAATTAAAAATATATAATACAAAATTTTGAAAGCGCGGTATCTTTAGAATTAAACACTCAGTTAGTCGCTATGTAGCGTGAGAACTTAAGCGAACTTAAGCCAAAGGGAAATACACAACTAATCACACCTGTGTATTTCGTTTTAACAAAAGTTCATACGATACATACCGATTAATAGAACCTTAACCTATATCAACATATAACTTAGTAGAAGAAGTTGCTTGGAGTAATTAAATTTTCAAAATTCGTGATAAATCCCAGTCCCTGGGAGATCAAAATGAAGATTGGAATAGAGATCGGACTTTGATTAGCTCCTAAATTTACCAAAAGGATACTGTGAGTATCTATAAATATATCGAAAGACAGTAATATAATACGGCCAAGCTGAAGCTTGGAATTACGATAAAAGCAATTAAATAATAACACTGAAAGGTTATTCAAGTGTACTAATTAAAACGGAAAATTATATATTAGGTGACATACGAAGTATTCGCCGTTTTTCGATAAATTTTTGAACAAAATTTTTAAAATAAAATTAATTTAACTAATGCTTATATTGGCCGTTATTATATATGACTTATTACACTTTTATCCAACTTCGCCGATACCGATGCCAAGCTCGATTGAAAAAGGTGGTAGGAACGCAATCAGCTAACCTTAATGGCCTTTGAACACCCTAGCGTCTCAGGAAGTAGATGAGAATAAACAACTCTTGTACAACTCAATAAGAAAGTTTGTCACCATTTTTGTCACGTCTTTGAATCCAACACTCAAGAAATAATCTTTATATATTAGTTACTTATTTATTTACTGCTGTCCTTCTCTCCTAGTAGAGCATAGGATCTTAATAGTATACATATATTATCTGATGTGAAGGTACCAAATTTAAGTTTAAGTATCCAGATGATTGAAACCGTGACGCTGTATACTTCATTGGAGAAAAGGATAACAGTAAATAAGTAAGTAACACTTTTATCCTCGAACAACTTGGCCACGCGATTTTCGGTCGGTGGAGTTCTTACACTTTTATCGGCGAAAAACTTGGCCAAGTGATTTTTGGTCGGTCGATCTATTACATTTTTATCGGTGAACAACTTGGTCAAGTGATTTTCGATCGACTGAATTTTTATCTTTAATATAGTTTTGCAGAGAATAAAATAAGAGGTAGCCAACCAGTGTATGCTCGGGGTTGTACAGTGAATGCATTAAAACTTTCCATGCAAGTTGCGTTGATTTGTTTCTAATCATCAAAGATGTGTATGGCCTGGTATTGTCATGATGGAAACGGCTCCTTTTCTGTTTTTCAATTCTGGTTGCTTTTCTTTGATGTTTTTTTTATTTAAGCGGACGAGTTGCGATCAGTATAAGATGAAATTAACCATTGTACCAAGCTGCAGTACTTAGCAGTAAACAATTTTATTCAAATCCTTATCAAAGTAACCATGGCACCAAACTATTCCAGCTAGTAACAAATAATTTCTTTCCAATCCTACGAATTACTCTACATAAACAAGCCTTTACAATCAATTCAATCTTTGAAGACAATTGTGGAGGATAAACAGCTTGCGAACAGATTATTGCGTTGAACATTGTCGTATGGAATCCATATTAATTCGCACGTAATAATTCATTTTAAAAACGGTTTGATTGTGTTGTATTTCAGTTACTTTTTACTATTAGTACTAATGGTACTAATTCGTACTATTAAATTTCTTCGCGAACCTTTGTTCAGTGCTTCCGCTATCTTCTGACAGCTTGCGTGTCGGTCTTGTTCCAATAGTTGCAAAATTTCATCGGCTCTTTAAGTGACTGGCCTAACAGATTAAGGTGCGTTTTTGACATCAATATATCTAAGGATACTTTTCATATTGCCCTATTTCATATAAGGTGAAAGCGTTAAACTTGTTTTTTTTATTTTTGCTACTACTTGAGGTTAGCCTACTTAAAAATTATTAAACCTTGTTGCCATCGACAAGGCAATAAGGTTACTTTGACAGTACAAATGTCTTCTTATTTGCCAATTTAAATTTCAAAGCATTTTTAACAGATCTTCCTGGGAAAAATCTTTTTTTACACGTAATATGTGCAAGTATCTTTTCGTAATTTGTTGTTTGCATTCTAGGGTTAAGAATCAGAAATTTATTTCTCATAACCGAAATTCTGTCGTTTTTGTGAGAAAACTTTTAAATGATTTCATAAGTATTTTTGGAGTATATAGCTGCAGTTTTTAATATCCCCGATTAGGGGCTCACCTCTCAGATTTTGGTCACTATGAAATGCGTCACCTTGTTTACAAAACTATGTTTTTTAAAAATGAAATAAAAGTTTAAATAAAAAATATAAATTTATTATCACATAAATTTTAATTTATTTACATACACAACTTCTATTATTTTATATAATTCAATAAAAATTATAAAAATGTCAAAAATAATCCTTAGAAATGTCTTTGACGTCCAAATTGTGCCTTCTGTGGTGCTCTGTATTGGTTTTGATGTTGTCGTACTGGAACATGATATTGTTGTTGTGGAACATCATATTCGGAATGGGTGCGAATGTATTCCAATGATTTTAAGATTTGATATGGAATTGGCGGTGGTGTGGGCAAGTGATCACCTTGTGGTTGGAAACCATTTTCATCAGCCTTATAAGATAATTGAATGTGTTCGCCTTCAGGTGAAACGTATCCGAATCCACCATTGGCATAATAGCCACCAACACCAGCTTCTTGTGCAGCAATACCATTAGATGTTTCGTACAAGTATTGGTAGCTGCCATCTTCCTTAACATCGCTCTGATATTTCAAAGTCTCAGCGTGTACATCTCTAGGGTCGCTGTAAGCAAACGCGCTTGTAATGGCGATAGCAGCAATGAGGACCTGCAAATAGATGCAATATAACATAAGTTAATAAATAAAAATTAATAATTTTATTAATTAATTTATTCCTTAGAACTTACAAACTTGAACATTTTGATATTTTTGAAATATGCTTGGTTGTGCACTGTTTGAAAGACGAAGCTGATTGATGCTGAAGATTAAAATTTGCCACAAATTTATACTAAATCGTTTGACATCTTTCAATCACATTGAAAACTGCAACTTTTAGCATTTCAAGAAATATCAACTTCTTTTGTTATTTTTATTTTGTATATTATTTTCTAAAGAAATCCAAACGAACTAGTCTAATAACTTTAGTCTATTGTATCATCATTAAAGACTAATACTATTATTAAAATATTTAGTTTATAATATTAATAATCTTTAAATGTTCATATATATTTTTTTTAATATATAAAAGTGATTGTACGCATGTGAACCTGTCTGTCATTGATCACTCGAAAAGGTTTCTTGTACGGTTGATGGCGCGGCGGCAAGTCTGGGCCCGGCTGCAGTTAATTTTATTCATTTTTTATGCATTTTAAATATTTTATTTCTAATTTCGTATAATTTATTGATTTATTCATAGAGCATTATTTTATTTCACACTAAATAAATTTACGTGGAATTCGCAAAGTTTTGGAGATAACTTTTTTATGCCTTTGGTAAATATTGTCTAAACCCAGGTACCCTACGCAGTTTTGGCCACTTCTATATTTATACTCGTAGTTGTACTACGAACGTATTTGGTATATAATCTTGTTATAAGTTTATATTCTACGAATAATAGAAGGTTATTATAATATCTAGAGTCTTTGTGCTGAAGTCTTTGTGTAGTTAACAAAGGGCATTGGATGCCAATTTAAGAGAAACAACAATTAAGAGGCGTCTCTTGGTCTATGGACTTATTAGGCTTATTAGACTTATTATTAGGTATGAATTTAACATATGCTTAATCTATTTTTAAACAAAATTTATGAAAATTTACTTATTTATTTCTAATAACTTCTGCTTCTTATTTAAAAATAACTAATTATGTTTAATGTTGTTTAATCTTATTAAAATGTTCACAAATTGTGAAGAAATAAGTTTTAAACATTTATTCTTCTCTTAACTTGTACCTTTTAATAATTATGGGGCAGAAGATACTGCGAATAATATTTAATGAAAAGAAGAGTTTATTTTTTTTTTATAGGCTAATTGCTCAAAACTTTTTTATTATTGTTGTTAAAAATAAAAACAAAAATTAAGAATTCACAATTTGATTTTTCAATAATTTTTATTTTTCTTCGATATTTCGACTTTAATCTAAAGTCATCACATCAGGAAATCGTCTTTAAGAAGGTACTATACAATGGCTCACAATAATAATCAGTTGATAATTAATCTTTCAACTAATTAGGTTCTACATGTACTCAAAATAAATGTTCAACTACAAATGTTTACAAAGTCCTGCACTAAAAGGATCTGAGACCTAATTTTTCTCATTGATTATCGATGCACCTGAAAAACATGAACTTGGTGTTGTTTTCGGACTGGTGATATAAAATCTTCTCCAAAAAAGAAGAAATGTGTGATATTCTCATCAATGGGTAAACTTACTCTGGCATACCCTATTCTATCCATATAAACGATTTTAACATTTTAATGAATAAGTTGTTAAAAGAAGTGTTCGAAAATTATATATTCGCCACATATGTGTTATGGCATTATATCGTTCAGTTTGCCGCCGATGAAGTATTTTTTGGGTATTTTTCATCTTTAGCAGTGATATCCAATCCTTTTCTAGCGAATTAATCCACAAATCTACTAAAATCTTGTCATTACAAAATACAACTCATGTTACTGTTCTATAAACAAGTTCTCTTATCACGAATTATGCAGAAAAATTACTTTACCCTCTTTAATTGGAATATGTAAGTGAATAAGGAAAGATCATGTTTCTAAAATGAGTATAGAATTTATTTTATTTATACTTGATTAACAAAGAAATGGTTTTATCTTATAAATCAGCAGATTTCTATTCATTTCTGTTTTTATTTAGAAATGATGTACTTATATTTAGTTAGTGTTATTGGAAATGTTTAAGTCAGATTTATTCAGTAATTACAAAGTACCCGGATTTTGTATATAAAACACACAAATTTAAATTATATTCCAAATTTATTTTATCTCCTTCAAAATATGCTCCTTCTGAACGCTTAACCTATGCCAACGTTTAACCCAATCTTCCATACACTTTTCGTAGGCCGGTGCAGGTATGACTTTTAGTTCCTTCGGCGAATTCTCTTTTACCGATTCAATCGACTCAAAACGACAAAACGACTCAAAACTCAAACGAGCGATGACAGTAGTGCCGTGTTTGGTCAAAAAATCGCGTACAGCAAGAATTTTCCATAGTAAAAATCGCTAAATGCACTTGAGGTAGTCTCACATTAACAGCTTCTGTAAACAAACTAATTGACAGATGGCGCTCAAATTTGTACCGTATGTCAAGAAAAGGTGTACCAACAAAAAATTTTTGAAAAAGGTCTATTACTCAAGTAGTTAACAAACAACAAATTCCGAATACTTTTTGAGCAGAAGGTATTGTAGGGGGAATTAAGTATATTCGAACTAAAATCTTTCAACACCTTAAAAGCTAAATTGTTTAAGGAAAATGATTTATGTATATATCCTTAAAAGAATATATATTTTTGATTTCTTAAAATACACTAAAACTTCAAGTTATTAATTAATTAATTATTAATTTTATGTATACGTGAGTTGTGACGAAAATTGTCTACTATCCATTTTTCAGGCAGATGATTCCTTCTGTTAAAAATTTTTTAAGTAACTATAATCTAGTTTTTTTTTTTTTTAATATGCGCTACGACAATAAAAATATTAACCATATTGCATTCAACACAATATATTTGGATGATGTTATACATTCAATCTTCAATAAGCACGTAGAGATTAACTTGTTTTTATATTGCAGAATTCATAAATTATTATTCACGCTAATATTTTTCAATTTAATAGGTCAAGAAATATCAATAATAGAAATCAATAAAATTAATAGCAATTAGGAAGTATTAAGAAGTGTTGATATATAATCGATTTGCATAAAAAATTCTAATATTTCAGCGTTGATTCTTGGTATAAAAAAAACTAAATAAGAATATTATTAAATGTTTTTAAGTTAACTTCAACAAAAGATTAAACAAATTAGGTTAGATATTTGTAAATGATAAGTTATTATAGTGATATTTTAATTAATTCGGCGCTACTGAAAATGGCACCATGACAATGTACATATAGTATGCTTATTATTATGGAGAGTTTTAAAAATACAACTTCTATCAGGGAAAAAAATCCCATAAAGTTACGCTCAATATGTTCCACAAACGAATATCGTCAGAAATATCTCTGTAAATGAATTTTCCACAAAAATTTTTTATCTATCTGCACATGGTCGAAGACGTCTTTCAAATGTGTCCTCTCGACTCTTTTTAATTTTATACAGATGGCACATTAATAATGAAACTTACATTTACTGAGGAGTTCACATATGTTCAGGTATATAGTTTTAATATATATATATAGAGAATCTTCTCATTATTGGCACATAAGGTTGGCACATACATTTTTAGGCTAAAATTTCAAGAAATTTTTACAAGGTATGTGGACTTAGTTGTGAGACACACCTTTCTGTTATATAATTGAAAATTTTGACATCAGAAAATATTCTATATTGGTTATACCAATTAATCCTATAATAGTTCTAGTCACTTTATTAATGTTTTCAATAAATGTAAGTTGAACTAAATATGTTAACATTTCTCCTCCCTGATTACTGGAATGAAGTTTCCTCAATGCTGTGAAAATCTTCTCCATTCATTCCTAATAGGTGATTTTAGTGGGTTCAAGTCTCACATGAAAAAAAGCGGAACTAAACTTTTACAGAAGAATTAGGCTAATATACTACGAAAGCACTTTTCAATTAGAAGAGCACATCTTTTTTAATAATTAAAAAATAAAATTAATTTCTTTTTCGATTCGAATGGCTATAAAACAAAAGTTTCATACATATATAGCCTATCATAAACTTTGCAATATTTTTTCCGATATTTAAAAAAAAATTGTTTGAAATTGCGGTACAAAAACTTAGTTTTTAGAAAATGAATAAAAAAGAGAAAGACGATTTAAAACGAAAATACTAGAAACTGGAAGGCTCCAAAAAATGAGAAACCCGCAACAATATATGGGGAAAGAAGGTCTAAAATGAATTGCAACGATCACGGTAGGAACTGAAAACATTTGTTGGCGAAAGAGATAGATGAATGAACCTTGTCTCTGCTTGCATACTAGCTATTCACAGTCATTATAATGTTATATTACATTATTATTACTCACAGTCATAAGTTTTAGAATGATAAGAATAACAAAAATTAGTCCATTAGCTTTCGATATGAGTCCATAGGGCCTAATTAAAATTTTTAAAATTAGTGGCATTAAAAATAGATTAGGAACTTTTAAAACTTTTAGTGCTTGTAAATGGATTCCAGTAAATGTAAGACTATAAGTATTAAATGTGAGACTTTGATTGAATTAGAATTTCACGCGGTCCATTGAGATGATTCTACGTTTTTTTAGGTTCTTAAAATTGACATGGTTCTCAGATGTGTTTCTATATTTTTGAAGTCTAATGAGCCCTCAAAACGTTATTAGCGTAGTATGCATAACATACAGAAAAATATTAGAAAAACTTTATATGACATTGAATACCTTCTGAAGGTAAATGGCAGTTACCAGTGATATCATCTTATAGAACAAGATGAACTTTATGTTACTTATGTCTTTCATGAGAATCTTTGTAATTGCATTGTTTGAGCTAGATCTTTTTCCGGAAATTAGTTTATCATTTTAATAAATTGGAAAATCTACATTATTTTTATGTTAGCAATATTCTATAAATACTAGAGATGAAATGGTTATAAATTGGTTATAGAAATGGTCATAAGGTGGTTATAAATAATATGAATTAATTATTATTATTATTTTCTTAAATAGTTGGTTATTATT